ACCAGGCTACAGAAATCAGCAGTGCCAGGCAGCCTCCTATGGCTGAATTAGAAACCACTGCTTCTTAGAATAGGAATCACAATATCTGTAAATTAATCCTTTACTGGGATATCAACACTAAGAACATCCACATAAACCAGCAACACAGAGTTTCGTCATTACATCAAATCTACTGTATTTGATACCCTCACTAAAACAGTGCCCAACTGGTATTAGAGACCCTGACAAAAATAAGGAACTCAAAGCCAGAAAGAACAAGATTTACCTTCCAGACAAGCCAAGGCAATCACAGCATTGATGATAATTTTCACTCAAGCTTCCTATATGGTGTAAAGTTGCAGTTTTAATCCCCAACTCCATTTCCTTATAAACTCAAGTTGTTTTTGTTTTTCTTTTTTGCAACAGATCAAATATTAGAAGACTACCTTTGCTTCCCTTCAATACCAAAAGAAAAATCCACCCAGTTCTACACAGATTATTCAGCTTAAGACAGGCAGCCAGCAAGCTTCGCCAAAACTGAGTGTTTTGTTCTGATCTGAAATAAAGATGCATGTTCTCCACTACACCTCTTTAACTACAAAGCTTTCTGCAATTATTAGAAATGGAGAGAATAAGCCTTGAGAGCAATGTTAAAAGCCTGGGGAAAAAAACAACAAAAAAAACCCAAACCAAAACAGAACACCAAAACAAGTCAGAAGCATTTTAAGCAAGTCTTTATTTTCCTACTCCCATAACTAGAGATAACAAGACAACTAATTCCCCACTTCTTTTTGCTAAAATATTGGGGTGTGATGGAACCCAGCCTTCAAATAAATGCATGCTTTGAAAAAGGAAAAATTAAGAGTTATTTCTGTGATTTGTGCCTCACAGTCAAACTTGAATGACCCTGAGAGAAGTCTGTGCAGACAAATCACTGGAAAGATTCACGTGCAGTTTATTAGTTTCCCACCCCCTCTTTGTGTTATTGCAAATTGCAGATTTTTTTTTTAGCAAGTACCAATTTTGACTAAAACCCATCATAAAGAGTGCTACAATACTGCTTTTTATTACAAATAGGCAAAACTTTTTCCAAAATATAAATGTGTAAAACAATCCACCAACTGTACAGAGCATTTACAGGACACAACCCAGAAAGGAACATGCAGCATAAAGAACTTCTTTATACATTTAGCCCTTGGCTACGAAGAACTTGGCAGTATACCACGACTTTAATGACTATAGGGTGAAAAAAATAACTAAAACCAAAAAAGCTCGGTTACATCTAACTTTACCACGAGGTTGGGATACATACAACACCGTACAGGGAAGAGTTGTTTTTAACTAGAAACCGTCATCATGTTGTAACTCTTGGAAGGGCTGGATCTGCCAATTCTCCACTCCTCCTTGCAGCTGGTCCTGCTCTCCAGCTGTTTGGCCGCCTTCCCCCCAGGCTGGGGGCTTTCGTACAGCACACAGATAGACCCGTCCTCACCTATGCGATAGGACACTTCGAAGGGGTCGACCCACAGCGTTAATTCGCTGGGTAAGAGCTGGAAGAGCCTCTCGTGGCTCAGTCCGATCATCCCCGCCGCTTTTCCTATCAAGGGGTCCATCTTATGGTTGATCCTGATGCAGCGGTAGCCGGAGCCCTTGGAGGGCACCAGGGGGAACCAGTGGTGCTTGTAGTGCTCTGCGGGAGGGAACAAAGAGGAGCTTCTGCGCGGGGGCTGCGCTCCGCCGGACCCCGCGGGATGCGGGAGGGACGCGGGGGGACGGAAAGAGGGGATGCAGGGGATGCCCCCCGGCACTCACCGCGCATCGCCTCCTGCAGGCACTCGCGGAAGCACCGCAGCTGCTCCTCGCCGACCCCGCCGGCGGCCCGCAGGAGGCGGGTCACGAACGCGGCCGCCGTGGAGATCTCGGTCCTCATGTCCGCCCCGGCCCCGCTGCCAGCCCGGCCCGGCCCCCGCGGCCGGGGGCGGCTCCGCGCAACAGCCGCACGGCGCGGGCGGGACGGGGCGGGTTTGTTGTGCTGGCGGTGGGGCGGGACCGGCCGGACGCACGGACAGCCCGACACACGGACAGCCCGCCCCGCCGGGCAGCGCTCGGTGGCAGCGGCTGGACGCGGCCCCGCTCGCCGCCCGGCCCGGCGCTCATTCAGCCCAACGGAAATAACGGGTGAAACGCGCGGCCGCGCTCACAGCTGCGCTCTGCCCTCGCCCCATCCCCGGCCAGCGGCGCCTCTCAACCCGCCATCAGCGGTATTCCCGACAGACATCGCTGTTATCCTGCCTTGTTCCCTCTTTCCCCTCTCGTTTCTCAGGACCCAGTACAAGCACAGACCAAAAACTCCCCCTCCATCCCAGACATACGGCTCCACACTTCATCCCTGAAGTGTGGGTTTTCCTTTCCCTCTACCAGCAAATCACAAAACTCTTGACATTTGCCCAAAACCCAGACCACTCTTCTCCTAACCAACTCTCAGGTCTGGATCGAGATGCGATTTTGTTAGAACAAATTTTCACTGAAGTCCCATTTGCATTTCAGTAGCTCTTACTTTAGGAATTAAGCTAAAAAAGTTAATCTCTGCTAGCACCTGGACTGATTCAGTCATCCACTTCAGTTTTGATTTATTCAGTGTTTTGAGAATCAGAACCCAAAAAGCATTCATTGAAATAAGGGGCAAAGAAACAACACTTGCATTGGAGTTATGGAATTCTTACTAGCATTTAGAATAAACGTACCATTAGCAGCACTAAGGACTGTCCAAATCCACACTTAAATTATTAAACTTAATGCTTAATTATGCTAAAGACCTCTCCCCTTCCACAATATGTACACCCAAATTAATAAATGCACAAATTCCCAGTTATCCCAGCAATTATACTCTCAAATCAGTCAGACAAAATACTGCTAAAGCCAGAAAGGACTTTAAGGGCCCTGGTTTTAACTTGCTTGTGAGAAACGAAAGTAATGGTAAGACAAGAAAGCAAACAAAAGGCAGCTAAAAGTATTGCAAGAATTAAATGGCAATGCTACAACTGCTCACGAGGATTGAGGTCTGATACCTGGATCCATTAGTCCTAAGTGGACTATTCAAATGAAACAAGAAATTCTGGCTTTAAAAATCAAAAGATGCCACAGTTATCAGGTAGTACCAAAATCACACTTTGATTTCTTGTGTTCTCCTCAGGAAGTTCCAGATTTAAGACTGAATGTAAGCAAGACACAGAAGGGTGAGAAATCAGCAGACAGATATGTAACTATTTGACTTTCATCCCCCTGCACAAAAATGGTTCCACAAGCAGCTGTACTTAAAGCTAATTCTATATCTCACACTTACTTTGTTGTTGTTCTGATCCTCTGCAAGTAATTTTCTCTTTAGCACGAACACCTGGAGTAGAGGAAAACAGAATCAGTACCTTGATTTATCTTGTTAAAAATAAAGTTTGTGCCAGTGTCCTATCATTCTATTTTTCCTCAACTTCAGTTACAGGAAGAGAAGAAAGTAAAACTGAATCTATATCACTCAAAGAATATACTATTATTTAAAAGTAGCAATAATAAAAAGTAGTAATACTAGAACAATTCTATTTATTTGTTAAACAACAACAAAATAATAAAAAACCCACAACAAAGCCCCCAAAATGCTCAGAATTAAGAACAACAGTGTCTGACTCAAGTTCCTTTCAGATTACTTAAAATAAACGCTCAATACACATTTCTACAAACACAAGCAGTGGAAACAGAGCACTAGAAATTGACAGGAGAGACTTTTAACTAAACAAGCAATTTTGGTTTTACTCCATCATCTCAAAGCACCTCTCTCTAAACATAAAGAAATAAAACCATTGTTAAAAGCAAGAAGTAACTTTTCTTCACAGCTAGACTACAAAGACAAAAATTATGTTATCATTCCCACTAGAGGGAGAAAAGCAGTAACTCCAAGTATAAATAATGGTACCTTCAGTGTTTTGAGCATCAAACCCATCCACAATTTTCTAAGTTTGGTACATCATTAATATGAAAAACCAGCTAATTGGAGAAACAAACACTAAAGTGATATAAGTGTAAGTTCCCTCTGAGACTGCCCCTTTTCTGTGCACCTGAGCTGATCAGATGCAGCTGTTCCCATCTGCTGATTCCATTGGGATCACCTGCTGCCACTTTAGCACAGCTGGGAACAATGACCCTCAGGGCTTAATTTGGGCCTTACTGGCTCGTCACAGGCTGCTCATGCAGTGCGTGGATAAAGAAAATTACCTTCTAGTGATAATCTGATTTTCCTGCATGTAATGGGAAATAGCCGAATGAACAAGAGAAATCAGAATTTCCTGACAGAATTGGAAATATGTCAAACTAATACAGTGGCTTTCACTTAAAAGACAATCAAACTGATTTATATGAAATTAAAATAATGAGTAACTTCAGTTTTAAAAATGTGCTGAAAGACTACGGTATAGTCTCCTATGAAAAGGTTTATCAGCATAGCTGTGACCTCACACCCAGCTGAGTTATACAGAGCTGGAAACTCCGTTTTTTCAGTCTATCTTTAAAAACAGACAAAGTATGATTACAGCAGGCTAACGCCAGTAGTTTAACGGTGGGGATTTAGCACAGGACTTTTGCAAATATTGCACTTCACTGACAGTTTTAGAGGTCCCAGTTTGTCAAGGGCAGTCGTGCCTGTGGCCGGCAGTGTCACGGCCGCCCTCCAGCTGCGGTGCGACGCCATCGTGTCCGGGATGAAGCCAGGTGTGACATGAGCGGGACAGCCCTCACCGTGACGTCACCGCCTTCGCCTCACACCGCTGAGGGGACGAGCCTTCCCGCCTCCCTCCTGCCCAATCAGCGAGGCGCTTACGTGTCGGTTGTCCGCGGCCAATCGCGAGGGCGCTTACAGCCGGCTCGGAAGCCGCCGCCACTCCATTGGCTGTGGGAGGACCGGTGCCCGGCGGTGATTGGCGGGCGTGGCCCGGGCGGCCCGGCGGCGTGTGGGCCCTGAGGGTCCCGGTCCCGCCATGGCGGCGCTGCCCGGGCCGCGCAAGCGGAGCGGCCCCGCGCTCTGCGGGGAGAGCAGCGCTGCGGCCGCCCCGCCGGCGCTGCGGAACGGCCTTCCCCCGCACAAGCGCCCCAAGAGCGCCGTGACCGGGATCGTGGACCCCTTCGGGGATAGTGATGACTTCACGGCGGACGACCTGGAGCAGATCGATATCCTGGCCTCGCAGGCGCTGTCGCAGGATCTGCCCGCGGGACACGCATGGGGAGCCCCGGAGCTGGCCCGGGGCGAGCGGCAAGGTCGGTGTGTCCCAGCGGCTGCCTCTCACTGCTCCGCTGCTGCGAAAGGGTTTGGTGTCCCTTTAGGAACCACAGAATGGCAAGGGACCTTAAAGCCCATCCAGCGCCACCCTTGCCGTGGGCAGGGACACCTTCCACTCTCCCAGGCTGCTGCAAGCCCCGTTCAGCCTGGTCTTGGGCACTGCCAGGGATCCAGGGGCAGCCACAGGTCTTCTGGGCAGCCTTTGCCAGGTCCTCACCTCCCTCACAGAGAAGAATTTCTTCCCAATATCGAACCTAAATCTCCGTCAGCGTGAAGCCACTCCCTCTTGTCCTGTCACGACAGGCTCTTGTAAATAGCCTTGCTCCATCTTTCTCTTATGAGAATTGCTCCTGCCTGTTCCCCTGGCCACCAACACCCCACGGTGGTTCCCCCCAGTGTCAGAGGGATGGTTGGGATTCAGAGGAATAGCGAGAATAACAATCCCAGCAGGCACATTGCATTGATCTCGGGGTACCAGGAGCCCGTGTCTGGTGTGTGTGTGGTAATGCCAGCCTAGCACAAGAGTGCTGCATGTTAAACCTGCCAAATAAAAAACCTGAGTTTCCTAAACTTTCAACATGCTTTAGGTATCATATTCTAGTAGTGTGTTGGCTTTCAGATTTTTTTTCCCGTCTACATTTCCACTAATAAATGCATAGCATGCCTTGTATTAACTGCTTTCAGGTTTACTTTGAAAGAAACAAAAGTGGGGGTTTCTTCATAATGAAGCTTAGAGAGCTTGAATAACTTAAGTGTTTTAGCAACCGTGGCATCTTGCCAGGTGAATAAGTTTTCAGTGAACCTTTGTGCGTTAACTAAAGTTATCTCAGATGAAATGCTTACTCTTGCTGTGGGTCATCTTGCTGGTTTAAGATATGAGATGATCTTTAAGGTCCCTTTCAACCCAAACCATTCTGTGATTAGAAATTTGAAGGGGCAGGGGTTCTTCCATTACAAGAATTGATGCACAAGCACTTGCAAAGTTCCTGTGGTGGTTAGATGAGGCAGTTTACCTGTTTGTAATGACAGTAAAATACTAAGATATTCAGATGTATGCAAAGTATGCAAATAACAAAACCTTGGTGTTGAGTCACCAGTGATGTACATTCATCATGCGTGCTTCAGATTTTGGCTTTTCCCTGCAGCAGGAAGCAGAACAGAAGATGGTCTGATGAGAGATGCATTCCAGTTTGAAGTGCTGCAGACACAGCACGAAGAAGTCAAACAGAAGGTTGGCAGTATCCTCCCCTCTCCTCTAAATATCACATTTTTGATAGGAATAACTGAAAGGTGGGATATATCCAGTCCCAAGCATTTAATTCTAATCAAGGTGATCAATAATCTTTGAAATCCAGGGGTGTGTTGAAATTATTATACTAGAAACAGCTCTAGTAATACTAAAGATTGAGTACAGTATTCTATTTCTTTGCCATTTCAGATTAGAAAATGCTAATTTTTCAGTTTTATTTGTTCCCTATCAAATAATTTCTCTGCCCAGTCAGACAGAGTTGTTTTGTTCAACTTAAAAGATTTGAGAAAGTGATGTGACTTTTAAGTGACTTTATGTTACTTTACCTTCTGGTGGTCATTTATGGAAAGATACTGTTTCCCTTCTCCGTTCCCTGTATCTTTCCCAGGTCTATTATAGCCACCTTTATCAGGGAATCTTGCTACCTGTGTGTGTATATATATATATATATATATATAATATTAAATCATAATTTCACAGCTGTTGTAGAGAAGTGTCTTTCTGATCTTTTCTTCTTGCTGTTCTGAGTAACTTCTTTATTATCCCTCCAAAGTCTTGTTTCTGAGTGGTGGTGGCTGCACAGGAAGTATTAGAGACTCAGTGCCATGAAGATACTGTTTAGGGGTGGTACCTTGTCTTAGAGTGCTTGTTTGCTCTCCTGATGGATATAGTAGTATAATTAAATTTTCACTTTTATCAACCAAACAATGAATAAATTATTGATGTATGTCACTAGAACATTTTGTTTAAAAAAATAGCCCAAAACGTAATTGCAGAGAAGGGGAAAGAGAAGGATGGTCTTGTCATTCTTAATGACGTTAAAGAAAATAGCTGAGACTGATTTAATCAGAGAAAGATTAGAGGCAACATGTAGAATTTCTGAGCTGGGTTTCCAGGAGCATTTTTCTCCCTAGAAATTACAAATACACCTAATTTTCAACCACATACTGATGAAAATACATACTTCTGGCTATATCCATCCTTTAATGGAATTCCTCTGTTTTCAGCTGAAAGAAATGCAGGATGAAATTCTCACTAAAAATGGAGAAATTAAAATTCTGCGTGACTCAATGCAGCAGATGGAGTATGCTATGGAGGAACAGAAAAGATCATACCTACTACTGGAACAGCAAAAATCTCAGATTTTAAATGAAAAAGAAAAAGAGTTCTCCAAAAAGGTTTGTAAATATGTCAGTTACCTGCAGATCATGTGCAGAAGCTGATTTATGACTTAATGATGTCACAGACTATTTCGTCAAAGGATAAACATTGATGTGAAATTTCCACAATGCTTGCTTTCATTTTCTTACCTCAAAGAAAACATTTGTAAGAACTCTTTGAGGGTTTTCCCCTGCCAAAACAAAGGAGTGAAATTCAGGTGGTAGAGGTTTTCATTTACTTATTGCTTTTTTGAAACCATCCTGAGAACACTGCAATTGGAATGTATTTTAGAGTGAGAAAAAGTGATAGATTATGCTTTGTGGCTCTGATCAGATTGCTGTTCCTGTTGCCATCATCTCTGTCCCTGATGAGAACAGCGGCTGCTTTTGTCCAGTTGGCTCTGCAGTTGCAGCCTCACTGGAGCCATGCTCTGCCTGGCACTTGCTCTGTCTTAGCCACTCACAAAGGCTTCTCGCCTGAACTCCTGGCACTTGGTTCTCAGAGAGTGTTACTTGGACTAAAAATGGACATCTTGTGCCGAGTTCACAGTAAGTAGATGGTGAGCTCCAGCTCTCATGGTAACTCAGTTGCTCTGCAGTTGCACCACTTCTAAACTGGTAACAGTAAAACTGTCCTGAACTCCTCTTTCAGTTACAGTCGTTGCATTCCGAGCTGCAGTTCAAGGATGCAGAAATGAATGAATTAAGAACACGACTTCAGAACTGTGAAAGAAATAAACACCTTTCTCAGGCAGTTCCAACAACAAGGTAGGGGGGTTGGAAAAAGAATTTGTGTTCATTTTTGCAATATGCGTGTTTAAACTATTGAAGAAGTTTTCTTTCTTCACGTAACTCTTAGCTCTGTTGTCTTTAAAATATACAACAAAAAAAATCTGATGACATCTATGGAATTTGCTCAAAAAAGAGCTTTCCTTGTATCCATGACAGAAAGTCAAACAGTTTATGGTGAAGTATCCTTAAAGCATCAGTGCAAAGAAAATAAATTGTCGTTTAATAAAATAATTACAAAAGAAATACTGATTCATATTTTTATCTTAGCCCTAAAAAGAATCTTGTGGTACAAGTGAAATCAGATGGATGTTCTCCACAGCCAGGAAGAAGATCTTTTCCTACAAAGGAATCCTTCAACGCTGAAATGTCCACTAGGCCATCATGTTCTTCAGGAAATTTGATGGCCCTGACTACTTCAATCAAAGAAGGTAAAACCATGTACAGCTTGCAACATTTTTAGCTGCATGTGAACATTCTGCATTAGGGAAGGATTTTGTGACTGAACAGTTGCAGTCAGTTCAGTTATTTGTTTTATTTTGGTTTTGGTTTTTTTTCACTTTATACCAACTGGAGTTAAATAGCCATGACTGAAATTTGCATGAAGATCATTTTAATTCATACCTTAGTACCAGATGCCAGGGTCTCAATAACGAAGTGCCCAGTAGCTGCAATAAAAAACTTTATTTTGTGATGAACTAAAACATCCATATTGTTCATCTGTCTTTTCTCATTGCATAAATAGGAAATAAATTGCCTATTTCTTGGTCTGCTGGTCAGCTGATGCATTTTTTGTATTCTTGTTCTAGCATTTTGGGGATTGGATTTTAAAGGGTACATATTTAGCCATACTGACAGAAGCAACTGAAACAATGTACTCATTTCCTCTTTTATATGTAGGGCAGTAATTCTCATAAAATTGTATCTTGAGTAAATCTTGAGTAAAGCCTGGGAAATTAATATCTGCATATATTTGAAGAGTGCTATAATATGAAACAAAAGTAGTGATTTTTTTATAGCACTGGGAAATAATAAATGGAAGAAATGTGGCTATCATCAACTAATCCTAACTTGAAGAGTCGTGAAAAAAATCTGAGATGCTGCTGTCAGTTACACTGTTCATTCTAAAAATATAGGCAGTAGGAACTCCAGGAAAAAGCAAAATGCAGTAGCCTGAAAGCATTGCTTGTTACAGTAAGAACACTCAATATGCCTATTTGTTTTAAAAAATACATTTGTTTACTTTTTCTGAACTCTGCAAGGCTTTTGGCCTTGGTTTGCTTGGTAATTATGACATATAGAGATGATTAAAAGATCATCTAACACTGTGGCTGTGTGTACAGGATGGGTGCAGATCTGTGTTCTCCTGATCTGTTTGTTTCAGACAGGAAGATAACCCATCCTGAAGTTTCATCCCTGCAGCAGCACAGAGCAACAGGAAAAAACACTTCCTACAACTCAGTCCCCAAACGAAATACACAAGGTAATATCATTCTGGTAATGAAGAAATAAAACCAGGGAAAATGTACCTTAAAAATAAACCAAACACTATAAAGCATTTCCAACAGCATTTCAGCTCCAAGAATTCTTCAGGATACTCTCTTAGTTACAGTTGGCAATGGAATTGCATCATATAATTTCAATGTCTGGAGTGGAAAATGGAGGGGAAGTCACCAGAACAGCTGGGATATGTGATCACTTGGCTCAAGCTATTTTGCTAATATGGGATCATAATTAAAATACCTCTAAATATAACTTGGTTTATACTTATATATCTTAAATTCATTTTTCTGAAAATCATCCTCTTGTTAAGAAAGATTAATAATGAAAAAAACATTCTGACGTTATGAGCACTCTAAATAAGGCTGATCTTCTGAAATGCTGATTTTTTGTTGCTGATGATGGCAAATCTACTAATCAAAGAAAATTCTGTATCCTACCAGGTTCTATCTTGCTGAATGCACTGATGAAGCAGCCCATTATCCCTGGGACATTTTTAGGACTCTGCCACCTTCTCAGTAGCAACTCTGAGCCTCTACCTGGAGCTGTGTTGCCGCCCAACTCTGTGGATACGTAAGTTTTATTTTCTTTGTTAAACTGTATCTGTCATGTTTAGTACAGTGGCATGCTCTGTACTAAGAACCACTTAGTCATGCAGGACAGCTCATTCACTGTGGTAAACCATGCTCTGCTTAGGCCATTTAGTGCAAAATTTGGAACATCATTCTGTATTTTTGATTATTACAGATACAAAACACTGGAACATCACTAAAAAATGAATTAGGTTAATTATCTGTTAGGGGAAGGCACAGAACTAAACCTGGGAGTAGCTGTTAGCAGCTTGCATTGCAATGAGGGAAGCACAGAAACATGATCATGAGTTAAGGGGGAAGAAAATACTGAAGATGTGATTGAAAGTTGGTTTGATATCTTCAAAACAGAAACTGTTCAATTTGTAATGTACAAATTGTGTGCAACTTTCAGAGACATATTTGTATTTCCTGGTAAAGCATTTTAAATATCAAGATTGGATATGAATTATAGTAGTCTTTTACTTTACAGAATTAGGCTGTAGCTTCTGAAGTTTCTTTGCTTTTCAGATAGGTTATTAGGAATGAAACCTAGAATGCTTTGAAATGGCTCTTCCATGCAGACATCAAGGCGTAAGGGGATGTTTATCCCCCTTTCTTCACATTTTGGAAACAGACATCTCTTTGTACTGTGGCCTTTCTATTATTCAGTTCATAGTAGAGATAACTCAGATTTCAACTCTGTTCTCTGCCTTTTCTTGTGACCCATTTCCCTTTTATTTGGACAGGAAGCCCATACAACTCCCCAGCAGCAAGACAACTCAAGAAGGAATCACTCCTCTTGTATCCCTGCAAGAAGCTCAAAAACTGGCAATAACAGGACTGAACTTGATTGCTCTGGATGAAGGATTATCTGAGGAAAGCCCAGCAGAAGGCCAGGGAGGGCTCCTGCCCCTCACACAGAGCAGGATCCGAGGTGCTGTGCATCTCCTGCCCTTGCTGGAGCACCACATTGGTGCTTTCTGCCGAGCAGAGCAGCTCGGGGACACACCAGGGAATGGAGCTTGTGGGAGCCATTCAACTGCTGCTTCCAGAGCCAGCACAAACACCGTGTCAAGCAAGGAGGACTTCAGGTTGTCCCTTGAAGAAACTACTCTTGTATCACTGGGGATCCTTTATTATTTGGTGTTCTACAGCTGGGATGTTGTCCACACATTGCTGTCTGCTGAAAGGGAAAAAAGTTCTGCTGCTGAAGATGAACAGGTTTCCAAGATGGACAAAAATGTGTTGTGTGATAATCAGTCTGTTAATAAAGAAGAGAGCAGAACACAAGGTGGGCTGCTTGCTCCACAGGATCCTCACAATACTGATGGAGCTCAACATTCTTTGTTTAAAAAGCTGCTTCAGATTCTAGCCTTTTCTGCTGCAAGGGGCTCCCAGACTGACAATATCCTGAGCCAAAGCCTAAAGGTTTTGATGAAATTAGCTGAAAATTCAACTATGGACTTGTTAATAAAGTAAGTCAGAAATAGCTTCAAAATTATTTCAGAGTCAGCTGTTTAGCAGTCTTCATTCTCTGTTGAAACTCATCTGGGGCAGCTTCCAGTACAAGTTTTGTTATGTATGAGAGAAATCACATCTCCGATCACATTTGAGGAGCAGCTGAGGATCTTTCTACTGCTTTTGGTGTTAATAGTGTAATAATCATCCCAAATCAGTAACAAGTGATGATGTTCACATGAAGCAGATGCTGCTGCCTCATGGAAAGTGAAGAAGCTTTATAACATTCATTTTGGGGTATTTGTGATTGCTGGGAGGTGCATAAGGAAGGAAAGAACAGGATCTCATTCTAGCAGGTAAAACTGCCATAGTGAACTGCAGAGTGGCTGCCAAAGTAACAATGTTTTTCAGCATACTTTGTATTTATGAAAGATAATTTGAGATAGGGTATGTTCTCAATAGCTAAAAAGGCACAAATTATGATGCTGTCTTCAAAAATCAGTGTATTTTCAAATTTTAACTGCACTTCCCTTTTCTAACTAAGTTTTGATTTGAAGTTTCCAGCACTTACTGAGTAGCCAGGTACTGCAGCGCTGTCTGTGTCCCGAGACCCCTTTGCCTGCTGTGCTTCTGGCTGTGAGACTCCTGTGTGCTCTCGCTCAGCACCACCTGTTGGTTGCTCAACTCTGTTCTCATTCAGGTAAAAGACTGCAGGACACAGAGAACTGTTACCACAACTAAAAGTAATGCAAATAGGCCTTGCTCCAAGGTGCTGAGACCCCAGAAGGCAAAAAGTCTACTATGTTACCTGAAAACTTCTTTTCTACTTAGGATTTGGAGAGTATTTGTTTTGTATCTGTATCTTTTTGTATCTATCCACAAGCAGTGCTTTTAAGTAGCCATTTTAAAATCACTTTCTAGATTGTGTATTTAAGGTTGATGAGGAAAAAGGGGCTTTTGAGTGGTTCTGAAGTTAAATTTATCTGTGCTCATGGCACTGTTTAGATTCCAGTACTCTGAATGAAAAATGATCTCTGTTCAGTTCCTTATGAATGAACCAGGACAGGATTACCATGAAGGCAAATACAAAGCTTAGGCATACCAATTTCCTCAGCACTGCTGAAGATGTGGGAAGTAAAACAAGAAGCTGAGCCTGTACCATGAGTCCTAGAATAGAACTCAAAATGTTTTCTTGCCTGATAGAATTAATTTTTGTCATGAACAAGTGGCTGTTTGGAAAAAGAACTAATTGTCTTTCTTTCTGTTCTTTCTGTTTCAGACAGCTGCCTTCTCCTTGCACTCTACATGTACATAACATCAAGACCAGATAAATCAGCATCTGAAATACTTTGGCTCCAGCTGGAGCAGGAGGTAACCACAGCTGAGTGTCCATGTGCTCTTTCCTTCTCCTTCCAGTTGGGGGAGTGGGAGGAGCAGGACAGCGCACAAATTATCTGAAAACAAGATATTTCCCTAGCTGAAATACAAAGCTACAAGTATGGACTTGCAGTAAGGGAGTACATTGATTTTTGAAAGGACCTGCTTGAAACTGATCAGTAACTATCCTTGAAGAGAGCATTGGTCATAACAGTCTTTTAAGTCACTGAAAAAACCAAGGAAGAGCCTAGGATGGCTGCAGATGTTCAGCACTAAGCTTCATTTTGCTTTTAGAGCAGTAGAAGAGTAAAAAGAAGCAAGATTTGTATTTAATTTTGATTGCATTTGTTATATTTAAAAGGCATTCTGTAGTGATTTAGGATTTATATTCCTTGCATTCAACAGAAATGATAACTTGCTGTTTAACAGGCATGATTATATATAGAAAGAATAGCTTTTAAATATAATTTGTGTTTGTACAAACAGAAGTGACTTGTTTGAGGTTCTATTTGCTCTACTTCCCTCACTTTAAAGAGTTTTGAACCCTTTCCATTACCCTACCTGCATTGTTATATTAAGTGTAAACACATTTGCATGCAGTGAATTAAAGGCCGCTGACCTTGTCAGCCTCACTCATCAGAAAGCTGAGAAGGTTTCTGTGCAAGGCAAATTCTGTCTGTAAAGTGTTACAGGGAAAAAAAGCTTGTAGAACTTTGAGGGTAAAAGACATCAGCTGTTAAGAGAAAAAAATAGCCCAAGAATATTTGAAACTAACAATGAATTATCATAACTCAGCCCTCACTCTAACACAACCTGTGTTTGTAACAGACAGTCAGGCTCCTGACACGCTGCATGTGGCGCTCCAGACCTGCAGTTTTATTTCCTGGCACAGACTGTCAGTGCAACCTCGAGGTACGTTCACCACACTCCCCCAGTTTAACCCCCTGCTGAGAACTTCAAAGTACTCCATGCTGAAATTGCTTTTTGCCCTCTTTGGTTTTTTTATGTAGAGAAAAAAAAGTGTCTCCTGTACTTTATAGAGGGTGCCACTTTCTAGGAAGCTTGCTTTGGCTTGCTAGAAAATATCCTGAAATTTGAAAGTTTGAAGAGATTAAGCAGTAACGTTACTATCAAAATAAGTTTTCTGCTGCTATATTTTTGCTTTGTGTATTGAAGCACTGTTTTTCCTCTTGCAGGTGGTTAAGGCACTAATTGTGATGTTGCACAGGCAATGGGTGAAGATTAGAAGATCTGAGACCAGCTTGTGTGCACATAAGGAACAAGTTATTCAGTTTTTACGGGATGCTGTTTTACTCTTGCACAGCCTGTCTCAGAAAGATAAATTGTTCCATGAACACTGTTTGGAAGTTCTCCATCAATACGACCAAGCCATGCCAGGCATAAGAGCCATTCTCAAAAAGACTCAAAAATTGAGTGCCTCTGAAGGTAAAAATCAGTCAGTTGTTAACTTCTTTCCATGTTGCAGAAATAAGTTTCACTTCTGTCACTTTTCTCTTTTAACAAGTACCACAGCTGATTGTTGCTCAGACTGCTGGAAGCAGTTTAGATTGGATATTTAGAAATTCTTCCCTGTGAGGGTGAGGAAGCCCTGGCACAGGTTGCCCAGAGAAGCTGTGGCTGCCCCATCCCTGGAAGTGTCCAAGGCCAGGCTGGATGTGGCTTGGAGCAACCTGGGATAGTGGAAGGTGTCCTAAAAAAGGCATTAAAGAGGGAGAGAAGTTTGTGTGACAAAACAGAAATCTAAAGATCTGTTTGCATAGAACCTTCAAAAATTGTATTTGCTGTAGTCTTCTACCATCAGTATGTTCCAAAGTGCAGATACGAGCTATAATTATACTGCATGAAGCAGGGGGAAAAAAATATCTCTGAAACATTATTTTTTGTTGCAGAGCTGATTTTGGATGAATTGTATCCTCCTGAGCCAGAAGACCAAGGAATAGACTCCAGCTAGTGAAGAGCAAAGATCTCTGTCCTTCCTCCTCTTAATCATTGCCAATGCAAATGTGAACTTTGAATCATCCTTTTAAGGGATAATCTTGGGTTGCACTCAAACACAGCACAACTAAGACACGTTTCTTTGTTGTAATTAGTGCTATCTAAATGTAGCTGAAAGAGGAATTTTGATGAGATTAATACTGCTGTGCAAACCCACTCAATGTCTTATGACTGGTTCTGGTTATGAATTCCATCCTGTATGAAACCACTGTGAATGGAAATGAAATTTCTCTCTATTCTCCATTTTACTCTGACTACAGCTGAATTTATGCTGCTGAATGTGCCAAGGTGTGTGGCATCACTGCATTCATATGAAAGCCTTTTGAACACAGTTGTTTATTTTGTAGCTGTACCACTTCCTTGTGTGACTTTTCATATTGTTGATATTAGTAAACAGTTTATGGTGATTTTAAAAACCCTTCTAGAAATAACTTAAGAGTTGACAGTTCACTTCAGGGTTTTGAATTTCTTGCTGAGGATTGGTCATCTCAGATCACTCAATTTCATGAATCTGCTGAAAGTGTACTTACTGAGTAATTACTGAGCTGCCAAAACAAACAATACTAGAACTTACCTTTTATAATTCCCCTTAAAAGAGTAAGATGGTACTGCTGAGGATTGCATCCTAGGCAATATAAAGTTATTTAAATGTGTGCAGAATGACTGGGGTTTTTGGTCATGGTGAAGATGAAGGAGCCCTCTCATTCCTAGGATTCAGCACCAAAGAGTGGAGGAAGAGCTGCTGCCCCACCTTTGATGTGTGCTCACTGTCACACTGGGCTGCAAGTCAGCAACTGAGCCTCAGACCCTAAAAAGGGAAGTGTAAATGTTATTAAAATGAGCCCACAGGTGTGTGTTTTCAGATGGGAGAGCTCTTTTCAATTTTCAACAGGGACTTGGTTAAGAATGAGCCTGGATCCAGGAGGACAAGAGACTGTATGAGAGTGGGAAAGGAAGCCTTTGGAAAATTGGGAGACATTATGTTCTCTGGTCATGGCCAAAGAGGCTGTGACCTGTCCTGCAGTAAAGAGCCCACTCCAGTGTGCTCAGCAAGCTCCTGGCTTGGGTCGTGCTTTGGAAGAGAACTTTCCTAGAAATGCCTATGCAGGAAGAACTGGGATAATAATCCAGCATCTTCTGAGGGCCAAAGCTCACCCCAGCCTGGGCTCAGCCTCCTCCTCTCTGAGCAGCCGCTGCACCAGGCAGGGTCCAGGTCATTTCTGTGAAACACAAGCTGCCAACTGCTCTTCTCAGGAACAGGTTTCAAGTCTCTTGTAGCATCTGGAAAACTGCCATGTTCCTGCTGAAATGCACCAAGGAAGGATGCACAGGCACAGAGCAACAAAGCCTTCCAAGTCTGCATGTGCTTGCATGGTCACAACCCTGGAACTGTCACCAGGCCCTAGACAAGACAAGCTGCAGATGTTGGTGTTACAAAAAACGTTTGTCACACCATGTGAAATAAATAAGCAAATAAACAAAGCAACTGGAAAAAAAAGAAAAAACAAAAAACAAAAAAAAAACCAACCAACTACCAAACAACATTTCCTGGTCTTCAAGATTAGAGAGAAGAGCTGGGAAGTGCATGTAAAAGCCCTTTAGCCCTTTCCTTCCTCCAAGTAAAAATAAACATTAAGATAATTCCTTAAGAACAGCCCAATGAGCAGGAGCTGTGGTAAAGCAGTATCTGGCCATGAGCCTACTGTGAGGAGCAAGCTTAGAGCTGTCCTAACAAAGATGTGACAGTCACAGTATCTCAGATATCCCAAAACGCAGTGATCTGACATCACTTTTCAAAAACTCTCACCACTTAGTTTCTCTAAACAATCTGAGTTTCTAGAGATAAGAGATATTTAGCCCATTTGAGTGAACAGACCAAATGAACTGTTAAAGAGTTTGGACAAAAACCAGTTTCCTAAGGAATCCCAAACTGTTGGAGCAATCCAGTTATAAAAAGTTGTATAAAAAAATTCCTGGCTTCATTTAAAGGGTGTGTGTATGGCAACTTGGAAAAAGGGAGAAGTGGATTACTGCTAAACTTTACATAAACAGAAGAGTTATCTGTGGAAAAAACTGATAGGAAAACTCCTAACTATCCCTCCTGGCTCTGCATCCCTTCCCATCCACCCCCAGACAACACCTAAACATGTACATCTACATTCACACCGAGTTTTCTTCCAACTCTGGACTTTAAAGTAGTACAACCCAGGCTCCATACACCAAACAGTTCCAACCCCCTACACTCTAACTGGCAGGAATCACAGTAACATCGTGTTATTGTGAAATTAAACCACAGCTCTTAAAATTGAAGGCACTGTCTGTTCACATTCCTAAGGAAAAATAAGGCTGTACTCCTAAAGAGGATAGGCAGAAAGAAAAATACTTACAGAACCATCATAATTATGTAAGACATTTACAGTGACCAACCTTACCAGGATGATTTTAAGGTTGTGCTGATCTTCAGCAATTCTTCCCTTTTCACTTTCTCCTGGAATTTTTCTCAGGAGTAAAAAGATCCAATCATGTGTGCAACAGCTGATTATCCTTGATCATCAGTTTTTCACTCCCTGAAGAATTCCCACCACAGCAGCTTTTCCACAGTCAGTTTGCATTTCCCCACCATGTTACAGATAAGCTGTGACTTCGTATTGAGAAAAGCAATTTACTCTGGCATCAAGCACAGGCACAAGACTGAACAATGAAGTGTTGAGCAAAGGAAAGCCACTAGGCATGTTCTACATGATTATCACATTCCTCAGCAGCAGCCACCCATCTCCTTCCTTGCCCATGGGGATGGCAACCAGGGTTTTCCCCTTGGCTGAGCTCACCAAGAGGTGCTTTTTGCTGCTCAAGGAAACCTTGCTCAATTCTACACCTTGCAGAATCACTGACTTGGTGAGGTTGGAAGGGGCCTCTGCAGCTCATCCAGCGCCCAGCTGAAACAAACTCCCACAGAGAAGCCAAACAACTGCTTTGTGTCATGTCAGGCTCCAAAACCCCATCTTTTTAAACCAAGCTGACATAGATGAAGATGGCAAATACAAAATACTTCGTCCTGTAGCTCACAACATCCCTGACCTGAGTTGGGTTTATTCATATTAATCCCACATGCTTTTAAGCATGTGCTAAACAAAGAGAACAAAGTCATCCTAACCACTGAATGTTTTTGTTACAGTCTGCAATATTACTTATGGCCATAATGGCCAAATGGTTATAATTAGAGTCAAATGCAGCAGTTCTGCCTGCACAGACTGTGTGTTATCTGCTGTGAATGTGACAAAATGAAAACTTCCATTTCCAGTGTAAATTGTTAAAAAATGTACATTGTTGATTTTAATGTGTAATTGTAATATGTAATTTAGCAGACTGGTAAGAAAAAGTGATCTGTGATCTCTACAAACCCACTGTGGCTGAAGTTTATCAGTGCTTCCAAGAGCAAGGACCAACACCTTCACAGCCTTAAGTGTGACTGCCAGCATTGCTGAGCATGGACTAACCTAAAAAGTTAGTCTTAAAGATTGTCAGTGCAATAGTTGCTCAAAGGCTAACCTGCTTTTGAAAATATCCAGATGAACTAGCCACTTTATTTTCATATATGGTCAGAATGTAATAACCAATGCCTGTAGAGTGTCCTGACAGAGGTAACACAAACAGTAATGTTTTAATCTATGCATTAATTGGATTACAGGTTGGTGAGAATGAACGATTTGTTTTGCTAAAGAATCTTCTTTACAGCACAGCTGAGCTACAACTCCTGCCCAGCAGTCTGTAAAGGACATCCTACCTGATGCCAGGGGCAAGGTACCATCGGAGAGTGAACCACAAATCCCACTGCAGGAGCGAGAAGTGTTAACACAAAAAGGCTGCAGAAGCCAATTTAAAATTTATTTGGACTGCTGTAAGAGAAATGGGATATCAGAGGTTGTTTTATAATGGCTAACTGGCCCTGAGGGACAGCTTTGCAAAGGAGACAATTCCATCAGTGCAGGAGCTTGAGCTCTTGAAAAGATAAAGTAACATTTTCTTCAGCTTTCTCTCACCTCTGCCAGATTTAACTGGTGCACTTTTCCCCCTCTTATATGGCTCACTGAAAAGCCGTAAATGAAGTTCCTGTGGTACAGGAATGAAGTTGCAGTGGTACAGGCTTCAGAAACAACTAGATGAGGTCAAATAATAACCAGAGAAAAAGAAAAAAACAGGCCCCAAACCACTGGCTAAAGCAAATCTGGTGAGTTACTACAAGTGTCGAGATATGATCGCGAGTTTCCCTACTTGGAAAAAATAAGCAAGAATATCTTGTTTATCAATAATTGCTGAAGTTTTTCCCTCCTGTGTGTCCAGCTCTTCCCACACAACCTTGTCATGAGTTTTAAATGCATGCCAAGTTTTGTTCTGGAAAAATTCACACTACCATAGATAACTGCTGATAAAACAATCATGAAAACAAACAGCAATATTCCTCACCTAACCCTGGGCTCTCAGCTTTTCAGTTCAGCAGTTTCATCTCCTATATGGCCATTTGCTGCAATAAAGGGTGAAGGTACCTTTGAAACCCTATGTGCTCCTTAAGGGAATCTGCAGGTTTTAATCAAAACCCAGGTTTTGCTCCTCACCCCTGTGTGCAGAAAGTGGAAGGCACACAGCTCTCCTCTGAACATTTCTCTGCCTGTCACTTCTCAAACTCAGCCACACTGGACAGGTGCACCTGCTAAAAGTCACGGGAAAAGAGAAACAGGTGAACTAAAAAGCAGTGCCAACAAAATCATCACAAATAACTGCAATTTCCTGGTGTCATTTCTAGCACAAACATTAATTATATGCTTCCTAGATTTAGGTTTTTAGGAGTGTGCATTTTGTCTGCTGTCTCCAGACAACTAAGAGAAAATGTGAAATAAAACTGGAAGGAAATTATTTATATTGCACCTCCAACACATTATCAGCCTGCAGCTGAGACTCCAACAAATTCAAGAAGTTACACTACAAAACCACCCAATTATTATGGGGTTTTGATTGGGTATTAGTGTTTGGTTTTTTTTAAAATTTCTGTGTTTCTCCCTCTGTTTTTCTTTTAAATGTTACATTAGAACATAGCTGGCAATTCAAGGTAATAATGCTGATGCACTAAACACCAATTCACTACTGTGTGGTGTCACATAAAGAATACTCTTGACTTCCTCAAAGAAAGTATTTTCAAGTGAAAGACTAATGAGTCAGGGGGGTGAATACAACCTTTTTAAAGCATTTTTATCAAAACTATAAAATATACAAATACTTCAGCAAAAACATTTTCAGACAGAGTTGAAAGCATCGCTTACCTCATTTTGAATTGGTCAAATTGATGAATGAGGCACAATACTCAACACACAAGTCTTAACAGACTGAGTAGATATTTTTAATGAAATTACAGACTTCTTTAGAATCAATCCTTTTGGACTTGCTTGGCAGCAGCCTGTCAGAGGCTCATTCAGGAGCTCACACTGTCCTTGCTTTATGCTGTGACCTGTAATATTGGTTAGGCTTCAGTCTCCACCACCTCAAGTGATTATTCGTGATACAAAGTGACCCAAAGTACACTCGGTAACACAAGCTGTCAAACACATGGAGGAAAATGTAGCTTTGCAGATACACCCCCTAAATAATACTCAAAATGAGGCTAAGAAAACCAAGTTGACAGAATGTACTTCAAACACTGCATTTATTACAAAGGTGCATAGAGTTTATGCTATTTGGTTTGAATACTTATGTTTAACCTACAAACAACATACAAAGCAAGGTTACATGTAACCATGTATGTAACAAAAGCAACAATGATTATCCAGTAAATTCAATATTCTACTGTCTTTATTTTCACAAAACACTTCTGATACAAAGGCACTTACAGAAGTTAAAAAAAATAAGATATATCAACATTTAAAGTCTTAGCTTCCTCCCCCCTCCCTACAGCACTGTGGAGAACAAGTGTGACGTGAAGGCAACAGATGCTGGGACTGACACATCAGCAGTGCTTTAACTGAAAACTTACAGATCATCTCCATCTTTTTTGTAACCATCCCATTCTCTTCAGTATTTGAAAATAAGCTTTAACAAGGCTGCAGGGCAAGAACCAAATAAAATTTGGTCCTACACCTCACAGTTAATTATTAATGCACTAACAGTAAGAAATTAATCACAATCTGATTAATTGTGAACTGAACCATTTTCTCTTCTTTCAGTAAGTTTCGTAACTGAATTAGTAATAGTACTGCTAAGGCAGTTCCTTGTATATTAATGATTGATCTTTGCACATGTCCACGAAAGGAAAGGTGTCCATTTCCAGGATCCTCAACCCTACCCCTAGCCCTCATCTCCCACCACCACACACAAACCAGTGACTATTCAGGACCATCTGTTTGGTCTGTACAACTTCCACCCCAAAACCTCCTATTTGGGAATGTCTGTTATTGCTGCCACCTTACTTTCCTCCCATCTCCTCAGGCATGATGATTGAGCCATCCTGCCATGAAATTGCAGATTTCCCTCTCACAACCCAAACAAGACACTGTGACTGCCATGAGTTGCTCCTTTTGTCACACCAGGTTGGGGACAGGAACAACCTCAGGAAGCCCCACGCTGGATGCTGTACCTGTGCTCTCCCTGGCCCGACTCCACCCAGGCTTACAAAGGTGCTGGAACAATCTCTGCCCTCCTTCTCCATGAATAAACACCAAGGGTAGAATCTGTAGCAAGGGATTTATTTCTGCAATTACTCAGTGCCCTCCCACAGAAACATTCCAGGTTTCTAAGGCAACACTTCCTCCTCCATACAGGAGACACCATCCTTTTTTGGTTGTTCCCATATAACAAGTGACAGTGTAATGAAGTTTTGCCCAGTTTCTCAGCTGAGAAGGCAGGAAGGAACACACACAGGATACGTGTTCTGTGAGTGCCTCTTGGCATCATTACATGCTATTAACTTCAACACTCAGAGAGGTCTAACAGAGGGGCACAGGTTGTCATGAACTCCAACATAAAAACTTTCAACAAATTTCTTCTGAAATGCCCTGAAAACTTTCTTAAAAAAAGAACTGGAATAATCCAGAAATAGACTCAAAAAATCAGAAAGAGGAACAAGGCTGCCTTTGACAGCAGCAATTTCCATCCACTCTGTGAGGTAAAAGAATGCCACCAAACAATAATACACCCCAAATGTAGAATCACAGGACAAATGGCTCAATGGCCTCTCTATAAAAGTAAAATCAGTGTAAAAGATACGTTAAAATTATTTCACTGATTATGTCACAGTGATACATGCAAATAACTACATAGTTCTATGAGGATGACCAACAAATCGCATTTCAGTGTTGGAAAAGACAGAATTGTTGAGGACAGTGAAAAAAAACCCACCTTGTTTGAGCAATAAAAGATTCATAAAGCCTAAAGCCCCAGCAGTGTTAACAGTCCTGAAGATGTCTCAAGATGTTTCATGATTGAAAGCATTACCTTCTTAAAAATACATTACCTGGCTGTGACCAAATCCTTCCTTTTCCTGACTTCTCATTCTCTGCTCAGCTTTATGGGAATGTTGAAGACAAAAGGGAGGTTTAAAGCCCTCACCTAGCCCCTCACCTAGCATATTGTTACTCCAAAGCAGACTGGATTTATAAAGGTCTGTAATTCTTGGGCTCCCACCACCTACAGTTCCCACAAGAGACAGTGGAAAAACCCTGAGCATTTGAAAACCCCAATCTTCTGCTGACATCCCATCTCTCCTGTAAAATAAATTCCTTCTCTGTGATGAGGCAGGACTGAATGCCAAGGTACCTCTGCTTAAAGAGCAATTAAGGGGCTGATTTTAATTCCAAACTCATTAACAACAGATGGCTGTAAGCTTGTCCAATACTACCTAAACAAGAAAAACTCACCCAATAATTTTTATGAAGAATTTTCAGGATTTCAGCTTTTGATCTATTTGGTCCATTAAGTGGCAGAGAGTCTGTTAATTTCTAGTGATAACACCCAATGGAGTTATAACACCTTAAAACTGGAACAGAAAACAAGGAAATAATGTGCTATTTAGAACTAGGTCAAAGACAAACATGGCTTACTACCCCTTACCAAAGGTAAATGTGTTGCAAAAAAGGAAAATTCCCTTTTGAATGGTAAATCAAATGATATTAAATGATAGCTTACCTAACAATAGTAGCTTCAAAACAGTTAGAACTTACATAACATGCATCAGGTAGTTTCTTAGAGGCTTTTACATTTTAATACTGTGCAAAAGATTGCTACAGCTTTGGGTATTTGACAATGCTCATTTTAGACCATTCCTCTCAAAATTATTGCACAGCAAATGGTATTGTGGTTCTGTATTTCTGAAATGCTCCTTCACTTTTCTCATTGTATCTAGAACAAAATCTCTTTTTGTATTTGCTTGAGGTATAAATTAACTTCTGCAAGAAAAATACTCCTTCCTTGGAGCATTAAAATAAAGGAGATACTGAACTGATTTTCACTCTACTTAGACAAAAGATTGTTGTCTTCCAGAAAAATATAGTACAGGTGGCATGTTGTAAACAGAACAAATTATATTCTGAAAAGTTTTGTATGCAGAAGCACAGTAGAAGAGCTTTTCAATAGGTGGGCTTCTGAGGATCCACATAAGCAGGGTTGTAAGGGGGCTGGGTGGGGTAAGGGGCTCCAACACCAGCTGCAAAAGCAAAACACAAGAAAAAACAGGTTTGTAAAATGTATATTCTGAATTCTACATATAAAATGGCAATTTCTGTTTTGAGCCCACAGTTCAGAGGTTCAACTTAGCCAGTAACTTAACTTGAAAACAGCTTGTGCTCACTCATAAAACATCTGCATTTCAGAAGATCACAAAAACCTTTGTTCTCGTTGGCTTTGGGGCTTTTTTGATGCTGAGTGTACATGAGTAGCCTCCAGGGGAGAATCTAGTCTAAAAAAAAGGAACAATCTGGCTCAAAAACAGAGCCAGTGGAAGTCAGGGGTGCACATACAAAAGGATATACCTGATAGTGTGCTGAGAAAAAAACATTTGGCCAAAAGCAAAAGGACTAGAGAAATCATCTTAGGATTCCTTCAGGGAAAATGTTTTCCTGCTAAGTATCAAAAAATTAACTAAGGAAATAAAAGGGAAAACATTCCCTTTTTTTTAGAAGTGCCCACTACTGAGCACATGAGTTTGACTTATATACCAGATGTGTATCCCTCAGAAGAGATCCTTGTATTCTACTGTTCTGAGAAAAGCTGCTCTCAAGTGGCATCTTCATTTTCTGTTCTGTCAAGCAGCACAAGTTTGTTCAAGTAGCACCTGATCAGATCCCTGGAAAGTGCAAGTGTGGTTATCTTAGGCTGATCTTGTAAAGTGAGTGGGTTTGGCTCCTGTGTGGCAGAGCAGGTATTCTCCCCTGGCATGTGAGCTAATTAACAGCCTACTCCTTGATTAACAGGCAGGAGAAATGAAGGAAAGAACTCTCACTGTGAGGTATTTTCAGCTGCCAACATGGAAAGTGCTTTGGTATGTTCCCAGAAAAAAAAATTAAAAATCAAACACCAAAACAACTTTAAAAAATAACAAACCAGCAAAAGCCTGAGAAACCAGAGAGTAGAAGTGAAATGACTAATTCATTGGCTCCCTCATATGAAAAAGATGAAGCCAAAGCACTTTGGCATAATCCTGTAAAACCCACAGCTTCTCTGGCATTTATAACAAAAATAGTGTCAACAGCCCTGCCAAGTGCTTTCACATGTGGGGTTGGTTTGCACATTATTAATGTTTACTATTAACAACTTCTGTTTGCAAATCTTTCACACCATGAAAAGCCATTTTATGTTATAAACATATTTGAGTTGTCCTGGAAGTTACTTTCTAAGTATTATTTACTTACTTACATTATTACATATTACATTTTTACTTATTTACTAGTCATAACTATACTTTTTTACTTATACAGATGAACAGTCAAGATTGTAAGAGGGCTTGAAGATTCTACAGGTAACAGCCTAGTTTTGACCCCTCTGAGCAGTCTGGAGCCAATTGTTTAGAGAACAGCTATTACCAGCAGAAGTGGGAATTGGTCATTGCAACAATAAGGCTGCATGAAAACAATGCTGTGAAAGAAGGAAAGCTGAAGAAAAAAGATTCTGATAATTCAAACTGCAAATTGTCAACAGACTTCTTCCAATCCCTTTGTCAAAGGTAGGGACACCTTCCCTGAGACCAGATTGTTCAGAGCTCCATCTAAACTGGCCTTGGACACTTCTAGAGATGTGTCCATAGCTTCTCTGGCCAGCTTGTGCCAGGGTCTCACAAACCTCACAGTAAATAATTTTTTCCTAATAATTAATCAAAAACTTGCTGTCTTTTAGTTTGAATCCATTCCCCCTTGTCCTGTCACTACATGTTCATATAGAATAGAGCTAGCAAATATTAGATTAGAAAGGGAATGTGGAAACATCCAACTCATGTATACATATATATATATGTATGTATATATGTTAATTTGCTTTGATTATAATATTAAATGCCAGCTGAGTTAGTAAAATGTTCTACTGGATCTGCTGACAGTCCCACACATTGCCAAACTTTGTCAGTACAGCTCCAGCTCACACCTCTTCTGGCAATGCTTAGCACAGAAACAGTGACAGGGAAATTTTCACCAGGGTGAAATAACAGCATCCACCATACTTGACTTCTACATAATTTGTTAACATTTGTATTAACATAGCCATAGAAAATAATAAATATAAATAACACAGGATTTTCTCCAGAGCAACTGTCTCTTCAGCTGTTCAGGAGATGAAGAAGCACTTGGTGCTGCCTTACCTGCTACGGTTTCATGATAAGCTGGGGGTCCTGCTGGCTGCATGGGGTAAGGAGGAGGGTACTGTGCAGGGTACGGAGCCACCGGCATCCCCGGCTGGGGCTGGATAGCCACGGGCTGGTAGCCTTGGTATGGAGCTGCAGGGTAGTTGGGTGGCACTGCTGGTTGTTGGGGATAGGCAGAGTGAACCACCGCCGTGGTGGCAGTGGTGGTCACCACAGCTACAGGCAAGGAAAAGGAACATGGTTAGTGCTGGTGGTCCCTAAACAAAAACCTCAAGCAATTCCCAGACCCCACATATGGTGGGAGGAGAGAGAACTTCTAAATGCTCAGAAAATATTCCAAAACATCTTTCTGCAGCTTCACATTCTGAAGCGGCTTAAATATTTATTTTTAATATTTAGGTATTGCAACTTCCAAGCAGAGTATTTCATCTCTTATAGGAATACAATTTTCCAGAAGGGATTAAAAAAAGAAAAAAAATCCTATTCAAAGATGTGAAACAGAAAATAAATCTAAAGCTACTTACGCCGTGGTCTTCGACACGCTTTGTACAGACAGCAACAGGAACATGTGAGGCACAGAATAATAGTAATGACAATCACTGCAAAAACAGTAACTCCAATGGCAATAAGGGTTCCAAAACTGCAAGAGAGAAACCACCAGAACTGGTAAGAGTCACTCCTTAACCAAACCTGCAGCAAACACATTGCTCCACCTCCAGTCTCTCAGTACTTATTGGACTAAAACAACTGTGCAAGGCAATGCTGCAGGAGGTCAGGTCTGCTAAGCCAGGGGAAGCTGAACCACCCCTGACAAGGGGTCTTTGGTCCCTCTCATTTTAGTCTGACTGCAGTTGTTGTTGGTTTTAGTGAACACACGGGTTCAGAGCATGCCCACAATGAAGCATCCCAGCTTTCAGGGTGACAGCAAGTTCTTCCCACACTCCCTAAGACCTCTCAGTCCCAAACTGAAGACAACCTCTGTGCTGAACAGATTCTTGGCAGGTTCCTTGGCATCTCTAAACAGGTATTTTAGAATCCATGTTTCACACAGTTAGGATGGACTGAAATTCTGACTTTACTGCAACAGCAAGTATGCCAGGCTACGTTATGGGATACAGAAACACTGCATAAAACTCCCAAATTTATTAGGGGAAGACCAGAGATTACAACAGCTTTGACTTCTGTGATGTGCACCAAATGGTGGAGGCAGATAAAACCAGTTACCTCAGGAAGCTTTACGAGTTCTATTTAACACACAGGGGAGAAAAGGTATCACACCTAAGCCAGTGACAATCCCCTTTCAAGTGCTAAATGAAATTATGTGTTTCCTACTGTCTGAAACCAATAAAGCCCATGTTCCATGGAAGCCAAAGTCTCCAGCACTCTTATTTCTTAAAAAGCACACCATGCATCAGTTTTGGGAACAATTGCAGGAAGTCAGTTTTAACGAACAACCAGCTCTAAAGTAACGACCAGAGAGCCAGTTTCACATCCATCCTGTTTTTGCTTGTTGGTAGAGACTTTGGCTACAAAGTTCTCTTTGTTTTTCTCCCTGCGCAGCTTCCTGTTAACAGCTTTAAACAAAATGACACATCTCCATAGCATCCAGCAATTATCACTTGGCTACCAAAGACCCACCAAATGTGAAAATTGCATTTGTATTTGTATCAGTGACACTGGAAGGTTAAATCACTGACAAAAAGAATTGCAAAATGCTTTACCCCTAGTCCAAATTTAAAAGACTTCACCTCAGTGTCTTCTAGAGCTACTGAACCTTTAGTAAGCTGAGCACTGACTGAACACAAGCACTGACAAATAAAAAAGGCTCAATTTAAAATGCATTCTTTCCCCTTAAGAGAGGCTGCATCAATTTGATTGTTTCTCCAAAAACTAGAAGAAAAAGCTTGAGTCAAATCTCTTTCAAAACAAAGATTTTATGAAAATGTAACTGTATCTGACTTGAGCACTGATTTTGTGAAGCACTAAACAGAGCACTATGGATATAACCATGAAGTATTGAATGGGATAATGTGGACTGCCCATGTGCAGTGCAACAGAGCAACATGTAAAACAGGAAGCAGGAACTGCTGCAGCCTCCTGAAGTCACAGGAACCATGTCAGAAACACTGCCAGGAAAATAAATGGATTACTGCAACAAAACCACAAGGTGTGAAGGTGAAAATAATGTGTTGAGGAACACATGCATATTTTGCCCCATTAATTTGCACCCTTACAGAATATTTTTGAGATGCTGACGTAAACATGCACTCCTAAACCCTTTTTTTTCTAGTGAACTATGCTAAGGAAAGAAAAGAAAATCTTGTGCCAAGGAAAGATATTAGGACTGACAAAGGCAACTACAATTCTTCACTTGTACAGACAATGAACTTAGAACTTTAGCAAAGGCTGGGCAGAATCAAAGATACCAAAAAATTGAGATGAAGTGGAGAAATATTTACTCATTGTAAATTACTGATCACAGCAGGAAACTGGTACAGTCCCCTTATCTTTCTCGACTAAATTAATTTCTGGTATGAGGAGAGAAAACAGCACAAGCCCATCTGCAGCCAAGCCATCAACAGATAAAAACCCTGACCATGGGCTCCACTTGTTTAGTTTTAATAAAGTTTTCTGCTCAATGAAGCAGGTGTCTCGTATTTGCTACCTCTAATAAGGAACACAACAAAAGCAAAGCTAAAAAACCAATGCACCATGTTCTCATTTTCACCAAGTTGTTAGAGATACCCTGTGCACTTGGATCACTTGTGTCTTTGGCAAAATGACACAAGGACATTTTGCACCCATCTTTTGAAGAGTTAAATGAAGACACATGTTTGAAGTGCAAGTGTGGCAGATGTACACATTAGAGCTCTGTGTTTGTGTGTGCCAACACTGTGATCCAGTCCTACCCACTGAAACACTGTCTGATTGCTGCAGACCAAAATTATAAGCTTTCAGAGACAACCTAGCAAGTAAAATAATAGAGAGAAGTTAGCTCTTCTCACAGTTCTTTAAGGAGTTTAAAAACTGATTACTGGCAGGCATTTTTATCACCTACTTCACAGCAGATAATTTCCCTGCCAGAGCTTGGGCTCATGCAGGCTAATGTCTTGGAACAGCACAAAGTAGGGAGACATTTACAGAAAAAACAGTAAGTGCTGTGAACTTATAATTCACATCATCAACAGTCTCTTTCAACACTGGAGTCCTTCAAAAAGAAATTTTTTTCTAACTATTTTTACTGACAATCAAAACTAGCAATACTCTTTCAGAATTTCTTCCCGGTCAATCACTACCTTACTGTAATGGTGTCTTTTTACTGCCCAAGGAATACTGGCCTGAGCACTTCTTGAGCATTTAAGTGATATCCCACTACTGAAAAAGGTGCAGGGAGGCTTCCTATAATGGATGATAGTCAAGTGAAGCCAGAATGGTGCTCAACATACTTTACTCAGCGAACCTTCTAACCTTCAGGAGACAAGACATTCCAGGCACTCCATGAAGACTCTTGCAGTTTGCTAACTCCCTTCTTAGACAAGAATTGCTTCATTTGATTACTTTCACCTGATTAATCTGCCTAAAGAGCTCTAAAATAGTTGAAAAAAAACATAGTCACATTAAATGGCAATTTAATTACCGCTAGCATGGTACACAAATGAAAAAGAACAAATGTGAGGGATTGTTGCTTACAGATTCTTCCCCTGAATGGTTAACAATGAGAAAACAAAAGCCAACCAAAACCGAAAGCACACCTGACCCCTGCATTCTGCAAACAGTTTTCATCAAACTCTGTCAGAGTGAAGAAATCAGGGTGGCCACGGCACCAGTTCAGAGTGCTCTGCTGGCGTCAGTCACAATTCAGGTTTACAGACTCCCACATTATATATACCATAGTCTAAATAAAGCACACACACTTATAAACAGCTTGAGCTCATTCACTGACATTTCCTGCTTCTTCACAGAAAAGTGAACTTTTGCCAATGATTTCATAAAAAAAAAAATCAAACCTAACAGCAGTTTTACTGCAGCAACGACAAACTGTAGCTTCTCATAAAATGTACAGGAAAGCAAATATTTACTAAAAATGGAGAGGTAATATCCTGCCCTTTCCTACCACCACCCCCCACCTTGCCCTACCCTCCACTTCTGCTCCTATCCTCTCACCTTTGGAAAGCACTTAAGTGTATGTGTAATGAGAATATCTCACAGATTCACCTTTAATTACATTCAATTAAAAATCAAGTTAATTATTCAAAATAACTATCAGCTCACATAAATGGAGTTACTTGCCTATTTTACCCCCTTCAGGACTGAATGAGATGCAATGGGCATATTAAGATGTGAGAACCAAGCCCAGGATCTGAATAATACTATCTGTAGAAGTTAATTCTCAAGGCAGTTGTTCATATTGGAGATCTTGAGTAGAAAAAAAATGTAGACTTTATTTAAAGCATTTTCAAATATCAAAGTTTCGATTCCAGCAATGTATTTTTAAATCTTCTTAACAGTTTGAATCACTTAAGTCAGTAACATTTTATAAGCTGATACAAATGAAGTTTTCACATATGTATGCCTTCATGTGCCTAGGACACACTAAAAATTTTGTCTTAAAACAGAAAGAAATATCCAAATGAACAATGAGACCACCTAGTTATGAAAAAATAGTTTCAAAAGCCATTTTATTGTGCAAGTTTTAATCTGTTCCAAGATTTGTTCCATGCTTTGAGAAACACACTGGCGAGGTTCTTTTCAAAAGCACTGCTGCGTTTAAAAACATTTACAAATAGCGAGTTATGGCTGTAACATGGGGTGGTCTGGAAATACTTCAAAAGATAATTTAGGCCATTCCTAAAAGTAAAATAAAAAATTGACTATATACATGTCATTCCTTACAGCTCCAGAAAAGGATCCAGTTCCCAGAAATGTGATGGAATGGTAAATATCCACGTTTCCCTGGCTCAGGTGTAGGGCATGACCAAACAAGTCCCCAGAGAGAGATGCTTAAGTGTAACATTTTAGTCACAGCCATGTAATGCCACATACTGCCTCTAAAGTTTAGCAGGAAAAATAATAAATTATTTTTTTAAAAAAGCAGTATGAATTCCCAAGGGCCTTTCAGAGGGATTAGTTTTTACAACTTTACTAACAACACACTTCCTCAGTTTAATGTTTTATCATAAAAATTCAAAACATAAGAACCACTTTTCTAAAGATTAAACGACAATAATTTACTATTATTCAGAAAGCAAATTCACAGGAAAACATTAGTCTTATATTAACACTTGCAAGAGTGACCAGCCTATTTTAGCACAGCCAGGCGCTTCAGCACAAGCAGACAATCAAAATATACACCAAGTTAAGCCTCCTTGTCCAGGTGCAATCACAGTAATTGCTGGTGCAGCCTTGGCCACCTCCCCAAAACAGGATCTCTACATGATCAGGAAGATTCCAAGTGATTTTTGTGGTAGGCAACAGGCAGCCCAAGACTCAGACTGAGCAGTATGGTTTCAATTTTATAAAATCTTGGTTGTTTCATCAAAGGTTTGGCAGGTTTGAGTAACTGCAGACATCTTACAAGCTCTGCAGTGCAGTAAAGTGTGGATTGGAATTGTGAAGTCTGGTGTTTCAGACTAACATTAG